CGTGCCGGCTGCAGGCGGGCGGGGGGAATCCTGGCGCGGGGAGCGTCTGGAAGCGGTTCCGAGCATCGCAACCCACCGCCATCCTCCGTCGAACTTCCTCGAGTGATAATTTCTACACCTCGTCTATTAATTTCGCAATGATCAGGGATAGACGATGATGCTTGACGAGCTTCTCGTCCGTCGCGAGGACGCGTTGCCCCAAGTGAGGGGAACGCCGCTCCCCGAAGATGAATTCACTTTGCGCTCAGCCAGAATCCCAGAAATCCCTTTTTTTTTGCGGCCAGACTGATGGATTTACCTTCTCTTGCTCTTTTTCAGGGCTGAAATATTAACCGGCACGCTTCAGGCTCTGCGTAAAGTTGAACCGCAGCATTTCGAACCCTATTTAAGGTTATAAATCGGTAAAACGATGTTCTGTCTTTGCGTCCGTTGATCCCTTAAGGCTTCGCGGTAACGACGGAGGCTTTTGTGTTGCAGCTTTGCCCCCGGATCAGTCGTTTACAGGATCAAAAAGTACCATTTTGCTCGCTTCATCCAGTTCTCTCTCTGCTACATGGTATAAAAGCGCAGTTCAACCGCCGCTTCATTTATTTAGGGTCTGTCTCGTAGAAGAATATCTAAAACAGACTAAAAACCGGATTTCTGCCTGCACGTTAGAGGAGGAGCGCGCTTAACCAGCTGCCAGGTCTGGGATTTTCCTGATAACGTTTCCGAACTCTGCAGCACCGTCTCCTCTTTAAATAACTTTGTTATATTGAAGCCTCCCCTGGTTTCGAATCCGTTTTCTCCGTAAGAATCAAATTCTTTCACTCTAAGGAATTTTTTCCAATCTCTTAGTCCTCCTTTACAGCTCTTCTATGAACCCACTCCAATTTTTCACGTCAAGAACCGTGCACACCCCAACCAGACATAGATGTGACTGCCGCTAGAGGTAAAACAGCCTCCTGATTCCCTTATTTATCCCTCAAGGATTTCATTCGCTCATTTTGGGGGAATATCAACCGTTCCCCAGGCTCGACATCGGCTACCGACGCTGTCGGATCGTTCCTCAAAGGGCTGAGAACATCCCGGCCTTGACTTGATCTCAACGGCACCTCATCCGCTTTCGAGATCCCTCTCTGAATTTCAAACCATCTCCCATCCCCATCTCGCAGCGTTCTCGTTCTTTTAACCCGAACGCCGTGCCATAACCCAGGAAAACGTCGCGTGCGGGAGCATCGCCGAGCTTGCGTCGCCAAAAAAAAAGCAGCTTTGACGGTATTTACTGCCCGCGAGCTGGTGCGAGCATCCCGCGACCCTTCTGGGACGCTGCGGATCCTCGCGCCTCTTCTTGCCTCGGTCTTGGACTGGTCCTGCTGGCATCCCAACAGGTTCTTTTCCGAGGTTTACTGGCAAATCGGCAGGAGATGGCCAGGGATTTCGACGGTCGACCCTCGAAGGGTTTAGGAACCAGTTGTCCGGGTCATAAAAAAGAAATTGGACTTTGGGAGTTGCTGTTGAACGTTCTCAGGAGCTGTTGGAAGAGAAAACCTTTCTGCGCTGCCATCGCCCGGACGGCGAGGGCAAATTCAACCCAGCAATATTTACCAAATCCCCTGAGTCTTCCCCGATTTATTACTGATGCTCGTCATCTTCCTGCGGCGAGGGGCTTGCTGCCGTTTCCCGAACACCTTGTCTCCTAAACCACCGAGGAACAAAAACAGGGTCGTAAAGCCGAACACCTCAAACTGATTTAATTATTTCAGCTTTCTTTTTCTTTTCCCCTCCCTCGGCCGTTGTCGCTGCCCGCGTCTCTCCGTTACAGGGCTGAGCCTGCGTCCACGCGGATTTTTCTTGCGCGCCTCTGATTCTCCTCCTCCCCGTGTTACCGAGTCCTTTCAGCTTCGTGAAATCCGATTTGCGGCACCAACAAACCCAATTTACCTTTTTTTCTGCCCGTGACCAAGTCACGATTACTTGTAGCTGAGAGGTTTTTTTTTTTAATTGTTATTTTTTTTTAGGCACTATCCCTGATATCCCAGTACCGTGCGCGGGGAGAAGCCCTCCTTGGTTAGAAAACGATTGCCCATCCTCTTTCTCAGCCTCTCTTTGCAGGAGAAGCGATGAAATCACCCGTAGAGAAGCTGTAGTTACCTACACGGCGTAGAGAGGCGCTTACAGACCCGGGACTCCTTTGCTCTGCCGTGACCCTATAGCGTATACGACACGTAGGTCCCGAGCTCAGCACCCTCCAGCTTTGCCTATAGCGTTGCCCAGCTCTCCGAAAGAAGCCGTAGGTGCATCCAGGGACCCTGTACGGCCCGTATATATGCCGCGTATATGGTGCTTTGGCATCGTGATTTGCTGTATAGAATAATCATAGAATCATAGAATCGTTAAGGTTGGAAAAGACCCTTAAGATCATCGAGTCCAACCGTTAACCCAGCA